TGATTCCCGTTTTTATTCTGTTAAGTTAGCTATGAACTAATCTTTTATGGGTTAGGGTTTGATTTTAGTTTGGATGAGATGGGTTGAATATATGTTATGCTATTTTCATTGGAATAAGTTGTGGTTGTGTGTTTCTGAAATTAATTGTTGTATGTGATGAACATGATGAGATTGAGAAAATTCATGTTAAGCTCATGGGTAATAACCATTATAGTATTGGATGCTAGAGATAGATTCAGAATTAATGAAGTAATTTAGGATTCTTGGCTTCATGATTTAGAATTGTTAACCTAAATTGTTGGGTGCGGAATGTTAATAATGATGAATAGGAAAACATAGCCGAGAGGGTATGTTATCATAATAGTGAATCCGATTTACAACCACTGCATGCGAATGTGAAAATAGTGTAATTGTAGGTATAACCCATAAATAATCCAAACGAAGTCAAAACCCTACCCGTTTTACTTAAATTGAATCTTTGTGTTCCATTTGTTTTCCCTTTTAAGGATTAATTTCTTGTTAGATTTATTTTGTTTTCTTTCAATTACAATTTGCTCCCACAAATCCAGATTTTCGGTTGCTTCAACTTGTTAACGTTAGGGAACTTAGTGCTTTGCTACCAGTCCTCGTGGGAACGATATCCTACCCACACTCTATTACTTGAGCGACTAGTGCATTGCTAGTTTTGCATGTTGTAGAAAACACGCATCAGATGTATGTCGTAGTTGAAGCCCAGTTGTTTCTAAAGCAGCAACACCACAGAGGTGCATGTCATAGTTGAATCTCAGTTGGTTATACTGTCAGTATTTCTCTTCATAGTGTTTAGAATATCGTATTCTTCTTGTACGGCTAGATGATGCCATTTAAAACTGCACATTTGCAAAACATTGATCAACAATTAACAGTTGTTGTACTACTTAGCAAAATATAACAATCAATAATTAATTCTAATGAAAATCCAAAACTCATATAAAACATGTAATCTCACATAAAACAATAGTACAATTAATAAGTTTATACAGTAGCACACATTTGGGGACATTTTCAAATCAAGGTGCTGAACAAAAGTTTGGTTTACCCATAAAAGGACAAGTGCCCACTGGCGCATACGAAAGTGTTGGCAAACACTTAGGACATACAGTGTCATCTACAAATTGCGAAAGTCATTATAAATCCAATTAGCCTTTTCTTTGGGTGGGACTTTCACGAATACCTCCCGCCACCCTCGATTTGACATAAGTACTTGACAATCGGCATGTAAAACTCTGTGGGTACTTGCATGGCCATCAAAATATCAATACAATTGCTTATGGAAAACGGATCAGATGGACCACTAGTGTTCTCTTCGTCCCCCTCATCTCCACTACGATTGCTAGTCCTTGATCCCATACTCTACCTCTCCATAAGCACATCCGTCAATCTACCAATGACATTCACAAGTGTTTATCCCGGGCCGCTTCTGTTCCACCTATTTCTCGCTCTTCCATGGCCAGATGTGTTTGCCCCTTTTTCCCTTATCGTCCGATCTTGATCAGGTTCAAAGTCGCTATCATCAATGTCAACCGCGCCCTGATTAGAAGAAGTGAAGGTCTCCACCGGTTGAGATGTAAATGTGTATGCATATCTTCTAGTGACAGTTTGCTTCTCAAATATGATTTCATAAAGCTCCTTGTGAGGAAGTCCCTTATGGTAGAATTGTTGCACTTGTGGGTTTTGTTGGTAATGCAAAATAATAATATATTAATATTTGGTAGTCCCAAAAAAAATTACGTACAAATACGGTGTCGTTGATTAATATTAGTTAAAAATGTTGAAAATTTACCTTGACATATTCTTGCCAAACCTCTACAGGACACGTTGGACTTTGCAACTCATGATCCCACCTAAAGCTCGTGTGTTGTAGCAATTTCCGCTATACTTGATATACTTTTTGCAAGCGAAAGTACTTAGAGGTTAGTTGTGTCATGTTGAGTCTCTCCTAGCCAATGATGATAATTCATCCAACATTTCCTAGTAATCTGCTATTTTTATTGAAGTACCGTGTGAAGTTTTCGCCTGCTCAGACAACAGAATCAGAATTTTATGGGTCATTTCAGCAGACCAGTTCACAGTATCACTCATTAAGGATAGTACGATGAAAATGACAATCAAGATTGGACACCATACCAATTGGTGTGCTGTCATAGGCAACAAGGATTAAAAAAACCTTCCTAACCTAACTACTAAACTGTAAATAGGGTAAGCAAGAGTCGATCCCACGAAGAGTGTCTAGCCGAATTTTCGATGATGTGAATAAGGTTGGGGGGTTTTAAGTAAAACAGAAAACAATCTTAGCAAAAACAAAAACAAAAACAAATCAATTCGAAATCAATTAATATAACATAACTTGGTCTCCGTCAACATCCACCATCGGAATCTTACAACTGATCATTGATGCAAAATTAAATCAATTCTTACTTTGAATATTCACCGTTGGAACTATTTTCGTATCTCTCCTTAATTGTAATTAATTAGGAAGCAAGCGATCTTAATTAATCTTACCATTAAACAACCATAGACAAGCGCTCAAGATTTAATCTAATGGCAGCCTTAAGAATTAGAGAAATCGATGAAGCTAAACAACACAAAACACAAGCAGTTGTATTTAATTTAGTTGAATGTTCTTCTTAAGATTACTAATTCCTGACGCAGCGAATTATTAACCCTAATTGCTTCACAAGTTAGAGGGATCAAACAATTGCGGATTTGATATCTAACTTAGCAGTAGATTGCAACAAATAATACACTAGTAGGCCTCCTAGTAATTAATTGCATCAATCATGAAGATATGCACAGAATAACATTCAATACTCAAACACGAAAATTGAACATTAAAATAAAATAGATTAGATCTCATAGTTGGTTGATTCCGAGGTCTCCGTTTCCAACGACCAAGTTACAAAAGTTCTAGCCGCTCATGGCCATAATGAAAAACTCAAAAGAGAAAGAAAAATTCCTGAGAAGAGAAGAGAGAGGCGTGGTCCCCCTCCAAAACCCTAATCTGATCCCCTTGCAAAAATCCAGTTCAAGAATTTGAATCCCACTCAATCTCCTAAACAAAATATTCTAATATCCTAAACTAACATTAATCCTAATTTAATTCTAATTAATTTAAAATAAGACAGAGTCCTAAAATAAAATAGGAAAGTGGTGATTCTGAGTTGTAACTTGCGTGCCACATGTCCTCAAATCTTCCAATAATAAACTGCCCAATTGATTTGCATGACAAGGCAGAATGCTCCAGGACGTCTAGTGCAGATGCATCAACTTCAAGCTTGATTACAACCTTGATTCAGTGAGTATCTCTCAAAACTCAAACATGAAAGTTGTAGATATATTTCTTAGCGTTCCACGGCATTTTGAATCATCTCAATCGGAGCTCGGATGAGAGAGTTATGCCCAGATTACAAAACAACGTCGAAACTGTCCGAATTCACTTAATTAGTTCCGTTTTGCAATTAACGCCTCCATTTGCATCCTAAATCAAATAAGAATAATAATGAGTACATTTAGGCAACAAATACGTATAAAAGACTAAACATTAAGGGGGTAAATATGACATTTTGCATTCCCATCACCAATCACCAATCACATTACAAACACACATAGCACATTTAAATGTAATCAAGTAAACACAGATAAACTGTTACCTCGTTCGATCTGACACTACTTGAAGATGTCGATGCAGGGGAAGATACAAGCAATGTTGACCAACAGAGCGTATGACAAACTCCAAGTCTGGAAAAACATCGAACTTTCACCTCTGCTACAAGTAGTAATCAATCATGTGACGTCGAGACAAATTATACTGACATCTGTGCATATAAGCGTAATTTGTTCTTACAATCAAAGAACGATGCCGAATCTGCAAACAAATATATCAGTTAGTGAAATCCCAAAAAAATATTTCTAATAATCCAACAATTTTTTACTCCCAAAATTCATCCATTACATACAGCATGTTACATACAGAACATATGAAGTGCACAATATTTTGACGCAAGTGCTAAACACTCTAAGCAGCATACAAATGCTCTAACAATTAAACCCCACAAACTAATCCACCAGACCCAAGTATATCATGTGCAAAAATCACTTTAGACTCTACCAATTATAAAACGCCACATTAAAGTCCAAATAAAAGGAATAAGTAAAGGAAAAAAGACTACTAACACAAAGCAAAAAATAAAATAAAATGAAACCTTCAATTGAGTCTCTGGGTGTCTTGAAACCTAACCCAATGTTTCTTCCAAAATCTATTCCCTCCCTTTTTAGGTCTCTTTCCCTTCCCTAATTTCTGCAAGCTGCAAAAAATCAACACAAGTTCAAAAATTAAAATAATTAATCCAGTATTCTATAATAAATTGACAATCCTGCAAAAAAAATTACATCAAAAACACTTGGGCTGATTCAGAAATTATCGTCATCGACTATAGCTTTGGAACAAGTCAGATCGACAATGACGGTATTCACCAAAGTCGAATCAACGACAATGGGCCTTGCTCATGGCAGATCGGCGATGGCAGAGGGTCTTCGTCGATGGTTCATGATGATGGGCTTTAGATCATGGTAGATCTACAATGACGATATTCAGTGAAGTCAGATCGACAACGGTAGGGCTTCACAGTGCAAGTTCGGTGACGATGGTGGGTCTTCATGGATGGTTTGTAACGATTGGTTTCGAATCGTGGCAGATCAACGACAGTGGGTATCCATGGATGGTTTATGATGATGGTGTTGTTTTGTGATGTTGGTGGTAGTGGATGATGGTTTGTGATGGTGTTGTTTTGTGATGTTGGTGGCAGTGGATGATGGTTTGTGATGGTGGGTTTGTGTTGTGATGATGGCGGTAGATGGTGATGGATGGTGGCGGTGGGTCTTCGTGGATGGTTTTTTTTTTTTTTTTGGTGATGATGGTGGCAGTGGCTGATGGTTTGTGATGGTCGGCTTGTGTTGTGATGATGGCGGCAAATGGTGATGGGTGGTGGCGATGGGCTAGTAATGCGATGATGGTGGAAGAGGGTGATGGGTGGTGGAAGTGCGTTTCTATTATGATTATGGTGGAAGATTGATTGGGTGGTGCTATGCGGTTGTTTTCTGATTCAAGTGGATGGTCATTTGGACAATGTGCAATGGGTTTGTTTTGTATTTGCAGGTGGAAGATTGTGTTGGAGAACAATTTGTTGGAAGGGTAGGAAGATGGTTTGTGATAGTGGTGAAGCAATGAACCAGTGAAAAGAGAAAGTGAAATAAAAGCAAACAGCACTGCAAACTCTATCATCAACGATCAAAAAACTGTCAGGATTCTATTTTCAAGATTCTATTGTCTGAATAAGGGATCGAACATTACTCTTAAAATTGGGTTTAAGGTAGGGTAGGAAATAACAAACCAAATGCACCCTTCGATATCTCTAAAATAGCTTCAGTACCTAATGCTTCAGGGAGCAAAATGGAAAATCAGTTGTATTCCATTAAATGCAGTGCTAGAAACCCTTCGAATACCTGAGAATCTGAAGGTAGACAAAAAGGCTACAATAAAGGACAAGACCAGACAAGACGACATCGATGGGTTAGACCATAGAAGACTTAGTTTTCTAGGCTTGCCTCGGCCCTAGAAAACTAGAGGCAGATGTTGTGCGGTAAAAATTGTTAGAGTAGATGCCCTAGAGCCAATCAATTATTGTTTTATTGACTCTTTGTAATAATGTTCATTAATCAATATGAGGCATTTTATTCTATATCGCATAAATCATTATTATTGTAATATGTATTGATATATGTCCTTAGAATGGTAGAACCGTGATGAGGGTATCAAGCGTTTCAAATCTTGATAGTGAGAACCCTATGAGCACATATGGTGGCCATTCTAAAAACCTCTGTAGCCCTAGTATTATTCTGAAGTAAGGGCACAGATAATACGGTAAGGCTATCCTAGTGTTGAACGACCCTGTCGAAAGGCAGTGACTGATCTCACTTGTCAAGGTTGTTTGGTGACAACCTGGTACAACACATGGGTGCTTGCTATAGGCGAATACACCGCAGTAAGTTCACTGGACTGACCCACCAGAGGATTCCATATGGATGGTAACCCCAGTGTCTATGGAACAAATCCTCTAACGAATGGTGGTGCATGTGATCCTTAGACTTGAGATCATCGAAATGCCTTGTGTATCGATTGGTGTAGTTTGACACTAGCTTAATGCAGTTCTATTCGCAGCTATCAAAACGGTGGTGATTGGCTGCATCAATGAGTGTACCAAGACTATGGTGGATAGATGATGAGAATACAAAATGTCATATTTACCCCCCTTAATGTCTAGTCTTTTATACTTATTTGCTGCCTAAATATACTCATTATTATTCTATTTTGATTTAGGATGCAAATGGAGGCGTTAATTGCAAAACGGAACTAATTAGGTGAATTCAGACAGTTTTGACATAGCTTCGTAATCTAGGCATAACTCTCTCATCCGAGCCTTGATTGAGACGATTCAAATGTTGTGGAACGCTAAGAAAGATATCTACAGTGTTCATGTTTCGAGTTTGGAGATATACTAACTGAATCAAGGTTGTAATCGAGCTTGAAGTTGACGCACCTGCACTGTCGACGTTCTGGAACATTCCACCTTGTCATGCAATTCAAATAGGCAGATTATTATAAAAAGTTTTGAAGACCTATTGCATGCAAATTATAGCTGGAAATACCATTTTCCTATTCTGTATTAAGACTTTATTTTATTTTCAATTACTCAGATTAGGATAATTTAGAATATTTTTAGGAGATTTAGATTGAGTAGAATTAGAATTCGAATTAGATATTTTTAAAGGGAGATCAGATTAGGGAAAACACAGATCACACACGCCTCTCTCTTCTCTCTGATGGATTTTTATTTTTTCCTTGGAATTTTTGTGATGGCCATGAGTGGCTAATTTTTGTAACTTGGTCAAAGGAAACAGAGGCCTCGGAATCAATAAACTATGAGATCTAATCCGTTTTATTTCATTGTTCAATTCATGTTTGAGTATTGGATGTTCTTCTGTGCCCAATTTTATGATTGTTTCATTTAATTGCTAGGAGGCCTACTAGGTTCTTAATTGTTGCAATCTACTGCTATGTTAGATATCAAATCCATAATTGTTTGATTCCTCTAACTTGTGAAGCAATTAGGGTTAATAATTTGCTATGTCGGGAATTAGTAAATCTTAAGAAGAATGTTCAACTAAATTAAATACAACCGCTTGTGTTTGTGTTGTTTAGCTTCATCGATCTCCCTAGGTCTTAAGGCTGCCACTAGATTAAATGTTTAGCGCATGTCTAGGGTTGTTTAGTAGTAAGGTTAATTAGTTCGCTTGTTTCATAATTAAGTACAACTAAGGAGAGATAGGAACCAATTCCAATGGTAAATACTCAGAGTAGCAATTGATAAATTATTACATCGATGATCAATTTGTAAGATTCCGATGGTAGATGTTGTCCTAGACCAAGGTTTGTCTTTTGATTGATAATTTATTTTGGAATTGTCTATTAGTTGTTTCTTGAAATTGTTCTATTTTTTTTACCAAAATTCCACCCCCCCCCCCCATCTTGGTAACATAAAACTCGGCCAGACACTCTTCGTGGAAACGATCTCTACTCACACTATTACGTGTACTTTTTAGGGTTTTAATTCTGGGTGCCTACGATAGCACGCCAATAGACAGAGGATTCATCACTCCCGGGTATGGGAGAAGTTATCTCACGGCGCAATTTAGTATATGGCAATGACACTAAAACTGTGGCCACAGTGGGATTTAGTTGTTGCTCTATCCAGATTATAATACAAGTCATTGGTCCAGAAACTTAATACATAATATCGAGAGAAACCGAAGGTTGACACTATTTCCATACCTTTGTCTCATCGAGATAACGAATGATGAAATGATCGAATTGTACGGTAACCATATTGTTGACAGGTAGCTACATTACTGAATCTGAATCTAACGGGTGGCCATGATGCCTTGCTAAGGGCCAATCTTGGTCTGTGTATTAGTGAGACGATGAATTGGTGTTAATCGTGATACTATACACTATCGGTATGATAAGGAGCCTATGGGTCACACACATAGAAGATAATTTAAGACTCAGGAAGTAAGAAGGGCGTTTTCATCTTTTTAGGTGAAATGGTATTTTGGTAATTTCACAGTGCAATTAAATTTGCTGAGGTCGTAGCCTTTTATTCAATTTGTTAGAAAAATTAAATAAGTGAAATTACATTGAAATATGGGTTAGCATATATTTAAATAAATTATCATTATTGTTAAATGTTAATATATATATTAAATATATATTAATTGATTTTAATTGAGATAATGATGAATTAAAATAAATATCAAATTGGGAGTGTTTGGAAACAAGGGGTGTTTGGGTTGGCTTAGAGCCCAAGCCTATTCTATATGGGAATAAGACAATTAAATTTTTCTATAAAAGAAAAAGGTTATTTGTAAAGGAAAAGAGTTTTTCATTTATTCATTTTCATTGCAAAAGAGAAAACACACAGCCACGCCAGACTTGGTTTTGATTGAAACTCAAAATACGCTTCATTTTTTCTTGTTTCTTACGGCTAAAGAGGGATCTAGCAAATCCCTCCTTAGTTCCTTGTGATTGTCTTTGTGTGGACTACGTCGATTCGATCCTACACTTGGGTCGGTAGTAAAACACGTTCAGAGACAAAGTTGAAGAGCCTCCAAACATGCGTATGGTTTCTTAAACTCTATATTAGTTTTCTGCAGATTCTTATTTTGATATAAACTGTAAAATTGTACCCTGATCTTGGTTCTATGGAACGATCCTTGTTATTATTGTTTTTGTCTTTCGCTGCCTCAATGGATCACTTCCTAACAAAAATCCCCAGCCTAGAATAAGTCAAGAAGCCCGAGGCATGTCCTTGTGCGGAGCAAGCACCAAGTCCAAAAGAAAGAGTTGCTAGATAAAGAGCATGAGCACCCAACCTAGGCACGGGCACAACATGTGACAAGATCAAAAAAGGGGCCCACTAGATGAAAATATCTTTTCACATCAGACAGATCACCTCACCACGTAAACTCTACATGCAGCGATTAACAGTATGCAGTAGAACATAGACCCCACATGTTCTCCTCCACCTCAACCAAGAGGAAACCTATGCAGACACCTACTGGTAGAGGGAACACCATAATTAGCTATGATGTAGGAGCATGTGAGCCCTTGACTACCGCATGATATCAGACATCGTTGTTGATGCACCGGCCATCATGGCATTCCGAAGTCTTCGCTCCATATAAAAGTTGCAATGACGGATAATCCTGTTTTTCCCTATGATTTTGCATTGAATTTCAATAGGATTTAGGATACTTTTCATACACTTTGGGCCATGATTGCTACTTAATTCTATTAATTTTACTCTACAGGCCCAAACGATTATTTTGAGCATAAATGATGTTTTTTTAGCACAAATTGTGTAACTTGAGCTTGTCAACTTGGAATTACCTGAATTTAGAAGCTATGGAAAGCTAGGAAGCAGAGCTACAACTTTCATGTTTTAGGTTTTTCATAATTTTTATTGGAAGAAGGTTAAAACTTGGCTTGAACTTGTGATCAACATGTTGCGAACTGAAGAAAAACGTCTTTGGATGCACTTCAGTATTTTGGCCATAAATTGAGTTGTGGACCTCAGATTGGGATTCTTCTTGAGCGACTAGAAATATAGTTGAAAGGGATATAGTTTTTGTTTACCACTTTTCTAGATTCAAACATTATCATGCTTAAATTTGACCATCATCGTCGCAGCAAAGAAGAAGTATCATTGCAGTGAAACTGAGGTAGATGTGAAAAAAATAAAACAAGGTGTTTTAGCTTGCTAGGGCTTCATCCTTAAGTGAGAGGGGTATAAATTGACATGAAAAATGAAGAGAAAAGGGTCTTGATTCATCATTTGGCAGGTAGCTCTTGTAAGGAGAAGATTGTTGAAGATTTGGGTTTCAAATTAGAAAATATTTCTCCATCTTTTGCTTATTTTTCAATAATGAACCTTGATTCAACTTCTTTTTGTTATTTTATTTTATTTTATTTTTGAGTATGCACTGAGCTGTCTATCTAGGGTTTGATGTAACCTTAATACAATGATTCAAATTTATATGAATCAATTTACTTTGAGTTTTAATTTCATGATTGAA